CTCGCCACCTCCTTCCCCAACCTCGGCGGCGACGCGACCCTCGTCGTGCCTTGCCCGCCCGCGGCAAAGGGGCAGCCGCAGCAGCTTGACGCAAACACTCACCTCGGCGCCTTTGCGGAGGGCGCGCCGGCGGCGACGCGCGACGCGCTCTGGCGCGCCGTCGGCAAGGCGGCCCGCGAGGCGGCGGCAAAGAGCGAGCCGACGTGGATCTCAACCGAGGGGACAGGTGTGCCGTGGCTGCACGTCCGGTTCGACCGGAGGCCAAAGTACTTTCACCACGAGCCGTTCCGCCGGAGGCCGCCGAAGCCCGACGCGCCCCGCCGCCGCATGGCGGGCATCTGAGCGGCAGGCAGGGTGGGCGGCGGGGGGGGGTCGGGACGGGGCGGGGATCGGACTTCCAGCCCGCACCCGGGAATCAACAGTCTCTCGCCGCTTCTCGCTGCAACCTTCATGCCACCTCGCGGTCGTCCCACTCTCGTCGTTCTCTCCCTTGTCATTTCCTCCTCTGTCGCGTCGTAAGGGAGGGATCATAAATAAATAAATAAAACGGGCACGCCAAACGACCTGGTGGGAGAAGGACAGGGTCCCCACCTGCACGAGCAGGATCTTGTAAGCAGTAAGGACGATCAGGGACACAGGGGAACGGGAGCGGGGAGCGCATCGCGACACGGAGGGGGGCTGGGCAGGGTTCACCCACACGACAGGGTCCCAGGGATTCCTCTCTCGTAGTGTTGTGCGAGGGACGTTGTAAAATTCTTTTCATCGGAGTCGCTTAGGCGGCTCCGGTGGTGTGCCGGTGATAGTACTAGCACGCGCCAGTTCGCACCTGTGTCGAGCCTGTGTGCTAAAGAAAGAAAGAAAGAAAACACACAACCCAAGGGAGGGATGGGAGAACGGCACGCCGCCACCACACAGGGATTTTAAGGAGAGGAGTGTGGTGCGCTAGCCGTCGCCCACCCTGGGGAGTCTGCCTCTTCGTATCTCTTTTCGCAGTCTCTCGCCGCTTCTCGCTGCAACCTTCATGCCACCTCGCGGCCGTCCCACTCTCGTCGGTCTCTCCCTTGTCACTTCCTCCTCTGTCGCGTCGTTCTCCTCAGAGAGGCCCTGTCCCTGCTCACCGCGTCCGGTGCTCACTACGCGACCGTCGGCCCGTCCGAGCGGCTCGGGGTCTGCTCGCGGAGCTTCCCGCTACTAGCCCGCGCTCTGGAGGACAAACACAACCCGCCCCTTGGCTGCGAGGACTGCCAATGGAGGGCGGCGGACCTAGACGCGACCGGCGACTGCATGATTGCCGCGTGCGCATGGCAGCTCCGCAAGCTGCTACCAGAGAGCGTCCTGGTCTCGCACGGGCTGCTGACCATGCGCCAGGCCTGGGACGCCAAGCGAGCCAGCGACAGGCTGCGCAGGGCGGTGGCCGACCACCTCCAGAAGCCAGGAGTGCTGAGTCGGCAACCCCGCCAGCCTTTCGCCCCGCCCGGCCAGGGGGACCCCACGACGGTGCGGAAGCTGCTGCTGTCGGTGCACAGAGCCGGCTTCTCACCGGGTGCGCCTATGGACGACACGCGCGACCTCAGCGATTTCATCCTCGGGGTCCGGACCAACGCGTGGGGATGCGATGGATTTCTACTGGGTGTCGCCGACCTCTTCGGCGTCCCGATTATCGTCGACTCCATCAAGTTCGACTCGGACGAGCGGTGCATGGCGCAGATCACGTGGCCGACGGCGGCGGCGACGCCACAACACGTGCTCCACCTCTTCCTCCAGCACGACAAGCACTGCGTCGCCATCGCCAGGGTGGCCGCTGCTGCTGACGGGCTGGGCAATCGGCATCTCAGACCAAAGGGGAACGCACCGCCGCCCCCGGACAACGCGCCACCGGCCGCCGCCTCAGACGCGGCGATGGACAGCGGCGGCGAGGAGCCCCCGGCGGACGACGACGAGGGGCCCGTGTGCGAGATCATCAATGACGGCGCCCCGGGCGTTCCTCAGATCCCCGAGGTGCTGTGCGCGTACCCTCCCGGAGATCGGAGGGACACGCCCGGGGCTCGGTGCTCGCGCTGCGGGCTGCAGGGGCCGCGGGGCTTCGGGCTGGCAAACCAATCCAAGGCCTTCAAGGCGATGGGCAAGCACATGAACGAGGAGCGGCAGGTGCACCAGCTTGGCTCCGATGTGCTGGAGTCGGACCTGTACGACGCCGGAGTCTTTCCCTGCCCGGTGGAGGGCTGCGACCGGGGCCACGAGTACTTCCCCACGGTGGGCGGGCGCAATAGCCTGATTCAGCACATCGAGAAGGAGCACCCGCGCTGGGACGGCGTCGACACCACGGGCAAGAAGTGGGAGGGCGGGCGCTCCGAGTTCCTTCGCCACCTGCACCAGTCGGCCGCGGTCGGGATGATATGCGAATGGAGACTTGGGCGATGCGTCTTACGGTGCAGCGCCGCCTGGGTCTCCCCCTCGACGTGGCCTGCCAGGCCGCGGCGGCGGGCAAGAAGACTCGGAATGGGAGACCCACGACGAGCTCGGCGACGCTGCTGTCAACGTACCGC